TTTTTTTTTTGACCGTATTGGAAAATACGGGTTGTTACATTGGTGGTTGATCTATAGGGTTAGTTTCCACTCGCTGATGATGTTGTTCTCTTATTCGCTGGTGAAATGTGCACTCAATTTCATTGTCAAGCAAGTACTCTAACCCTTGCAAATTGTGCATTCACTTTCAAAGTTCACCAATACAGTAGTCAAAGATCTAGAATAAAATTTCTTTAAGCAAAATACAGAGTGTAAAGCAATTTAGTCCCCGACAATGGCGCCAAAACTTGTTGTCCACTAATTGTGCTACAAATTCTTATATGTGCAAGTGTACACAATCGTCGCAGCAAGTAATCAAAGTTCGAATCCACAGAGACTAAATGCTTAAAACACTCAATATTTACTCAAGGAAATAATGCAATAAACCAAGGAGTTTTTCTTTTACTAAAACTAAATATATTGAGGTAAATACTATTTAAAGCGAGTATCTTAAATCAAACACAAGGGTGAAGTCCACTAGTTTACCACACATCCACAATCACTTAATAGTACTGAATAAAAACAAAGGTGTAAGGGGGAGAGGAAGTCGACTCGTCTGGGCCACTCTAACCATGCTGTAGCATTAATGAAGTATTGCAATGGAAAAACAGACAAGGTGTTCTTCCAAACACCCCAGATTTTCTACTACTAACATTTATAGACAAACATCAATAGCATATACGCACAGTTCTTATAACCAAGCTAGGTGATGCTTATCCCTAAGTTACCACATGCTAAACTCAAGTAGACTCTAGCCCAAGATGAAGGGTTTCGCTCCTTAATACATTTTCCAAAACGTTATCAAAGAGGTATTTCAAAATGGTGATCAAGCATGTTGAAAATAGATTGATAAAGCAACTTCAACTCAAAGCAAACTTTCATAAACACAAACAGCAAGGTTACAACCCAGAAAATAAGTCTAGAACATCTCCCCCTTACACAATTTGGTTAGCTATGCAAAGTCATAAGGAGAATCAAACAAAACGTAGGAATGAAAATAATACAAAGATGAGAAAATGAAGAACTGAAAAGTCTTCTTCTTCTCTTGACTTTCTCCAACGGTTTTTAGAGAGGGTTTCTTGGAGTGAGGGTGGATTCCTTCAAAGATGAACAGGGGAATGTTTCTTGATGTGTGTGCCCTCGGAGGCTTCTCCTCTTGTTTGTATTTATACCCCTTTCAGATATTAGGGCAACAACACAGACCTTGGGGACCCAGCTCTCACTTTTGGGTAAAACCTCCAATTACTGTGGTAAATCCCGCTGGGCAGTCCTTTCACTGTCAGCTTGTCGTTTTCTGCTGCTTTCTGAATCTGGACCTGATGCTGTAGCATCGTCAAAGTTGTAGCAAAATGCACCAAAATTAGCTCGCAATTGACAATACTACAATGTATAAAGCTAGTGTTTATGATATTTTTAGTACAAAATCACTACACAAGTAAGGGTTAGAAAATAACAATTTATATTTCTCATTCACTCCCTTACTTGACCTCTCGGCTTCTCTCCTTTTGGTAGGGTGGATATTGGTGTGGATACCCTTATGGAGATGCCCACTTGATTGCTCGTGGCAAATCGACTTTTGAACAAGCAAGCACAAGCCTACAAGCAACTAT